CGCATTGATTCGCAATGAACCCCATATTTTTTTTCATAAGTACCAATATTATTCAGCGAGCCTAAAGTATTACGGATTTCTTGTTCGGAGAATGGAATGAGGTTTACACAAGACAATCCAAAATATTCCACGTTCATTCTGTCATAATATCATATGAATTTTATGGTCAATAATATACTGCGCATCACAAGATTCATCTAGTACATATAATATTATCTATCACGCCAAATATATTACGGAGTACACCAATGTGGAATGTTGTTCATATAAATCAATTCAAAAATTTCCACATTCGTTCTGTCAATAACATATTGATTGTATTGTCTTATATTATTCCTATATATACGCGTTGCGGTATTCGAAATGGACAGCATTTTTCTTAAATATCATTTAAATTTATTTAACGAGACTGAAATATTACGAATTTCAGGTACGTGAAATGAGGTATACTTATTACAATTCAAAATTTTTCACACTAATTCTGTCAATATACCATATAGATTTTATTGGCTAATAATATTCTACCTATCACGGGATTTACAATGATCACCACTTCTTTATACATAAATATCATCTAATATTCTAAATATCATCTACTTCGCCTGAAATATTACGAAGTACAGCGACGTGGAATGTTTTTTTACATATGATCATTCAAATTTCTCCACATTCATTCAGTCAATAGGTCATATAGATTTTATGGCTTAAAAATATTTTACGCATCACGGAATACAAATAGTCCACCATTTCTTTGTACATAAATATCATCTGATATTATCCATTGCGCCCGATATATTGCGGATTATAGCAACGTGGAATGTTGTTTGCTTATGCAAATACAAAATTTTCCACATTCATTCTGACAACACACTATATCGATTTTATTGTTTTATATTATCCTACGCATTGTGAGATTCGCAATGAAGGCCATTTTTTTATGCGTAAATATCGTATACTATTATTAAATAATTCTGAAATATTACGGACTTCCGGTACATGGAATAAGGATAACTTATGACCCATTTGTGTATAATTCTTTGTACACAAATTTCATCTTATTATATCTACCGCGCCTTTAAAATTTAAAATTTTCCACATTCATTCTGTCAGTATACCATATTGATTTTATTGTCTTATATTATTCTACTGCTTGTGAGGTTCACAATGAACGCCATTTTTTACTTCGTGAATATCGTCTAATATTACTTAACAAGCCTCAAATATTACAGATATCTGGTACGTGGATTGAGGTTCATATGACTACTTAATATTTTCTACATTCATTTTGTTATAACGATCACCCCTAAAATATTTCTTTGCTTACTTGACCCCACAATTAGTCATCGGCGATGGATGTGTGCGTCTCTGGGATTGTAATGACATCAGTTATGTCTGAGCAGTTTGCGAGATCTATTAAATAAAATTTAAACTATGTAGAGTCTTATTACTTTGTGTCTAAACCGCGATAACCGCGTTTAAATCTTGATATTTTGGAGATCCTGCCAGGATCCTCAGCATTCCATCGAAGGATAAGTTGCAAAACGACGGACATTAGGATGCACCGAAGAACGGTGGACTACGGTCAGTCCATTGGCAAAGTTGAGGAT